ATTCTATGTGACATCAATTCATACTTTAATGAGTTTACAGAGTACTTCTGATTTCAGAGAAAAGGCAAATTCTGCAAAATGACATAACTCTGTCATAAATATTTGTCAAGAACAGGGAAAAAGAAACAATGCTACAGTGATAGAAATATCTCCTTGATATACATGAAATAATAATTTAAATATAACAAAATTTTCTCCTTTTTAAAATCAAAATACAGAAAAAAAATTAAAAGATTATAAATGTAAACAGTTTTAAAATAAACTACATGTATTTGTGAAAGATTTTAATTTTAGTAGATTACTAAACTGGTCTTATCATTCCTACTAAATTAACAACCTTACAATTTCCAAGTGGCATGTTTTAAACTGTTACAGTAGATATAATTTACATGTTCACTGCAGCATTATGTACAAAACTCATCGGTTTGCAGAAATACTTATTTGAGCATATTAGGTCCTGGTAAGAACAAAATTTAATGAATAAAAATATTAATCTTAATTGTTCATGTATTAATTTCCTTGCAATTTTACAAATCCTTTTAAGAAACTTGTTACATGTAAGTATAGACAAAAGCAACCTTCAATTAATACCTATGATGTATACCGGGGTACATTTATTTTACTGAAAACAAATTCATAGATGGACAAACAGAGCATGCATGCACTGCAATCATCACATACACATATTTTCTAAATATATGGAAAACAGCATGTATATATTAGATAGGATGTTGTTAAACATTAAATTTTCTTCTATAATCTATAGACATATAAAAATGTACATTGGGTATAACAAGTCAGAAATTTTTCTCCCAATCTCCATTGGTTTTGCCATGTCTGGTTCAACATCTTAGCTTGATACATCCAACTTTCTTTAATATTCTTGAGCTGATATGGGATGACCTCTACTTTGATTGATGACACAAATCTTTTAAGGAAACACTGAAGTTCTTTTTTTTTTTGGTTCTTATCTATTCCAATTAAAGACCCGTGATCTGAAATCATGTGTGTTCATTAAATTTTTACAATAACATTTAAGGAATTGCATTTTTTGAATTGCATAAGGAATTGCACTGAGTTTCATTCACTCAATGAAATGAATAAATTTTCAGTATAATCAGTGAAGAATCAATATGAAATTATTGTAAAATTTACAGATTGAATTAGTGAAATGCAAATGCTTGATCAAGAAAATTAATGTTCTTGTCATGCACAATCTGTATCTCTTTTTTATTAATTAGAAAATGAGATATTAATTAAAATCAAACCTCATTTAAAAAGATAACTTGAACAATTGAATACCTGTTCCAATAATGTTACAAATATTAGGCCTAAAAAGCAAGGATTTTATTTTTTTTTCATAATTTCTTGAATGAATGCATTTTTATTTTTTGGCATTGTTGGGATATTAGTCACATCCTGACAGCCTTGTACCGTTTATTCATCATTTTTAAATCCGTAGTCAGTAGATCATTCATAACTTTCAGTAAAATGAATAGTTAAATAATTACCTGATGAAAATACTATCAACAATCAAAATGTCAACTTCATCATTGGACATGGTCAAATGCACCGTGACTTTTCTTCCCTGTTCGGACTGCATATAGCATAATACTTTACAGGATACTCTCAGGTCTTTTCTTTTTTCTTTCCCATTCTCACTTTAAATTTTAGTGTAGTGGTGAAGCGAGAAACACACAACAGCACAATGCGTCAATGACTTTCTTCTGATCTAAATGGCCGTGCAACTTGCCACATTCCGTATCGAAAATAAACAAGTCCTCCTTTATTGGTTCATCAACATGCATCACGCGAATCTCAAAGGCTTCTAAGATTCCTATGCTTTGATTTGTTATAAGACTTTCTCCTGAAAACGTCCTTTGTTTTTAGTCCTAACAATAAGTGACAACAAACATCAAGTATGACAGAGGAAATTCGTTACCGAGATGCTTAGCATCGCTGGTTTAAATTCGCCTGTTTCAAACGCTTTGGTGATTCGCAAGAGTTATCTCCCTGTAGACGCAAACCTTACCTTAACTCGGGAGGAATGTCATGTTTTTTCACCACACTGTTTATTCTTTGTAAAAACTCGTCTTTAATTTCAGAAAATTTGTCATCAGTGAACTGAATTTTTGCCGTGCAACTGCCCCTTCGCTTAACCATATTCATCCTAAACAACACTGACTGGGCCCAGCTTTTTTTCAGCGTAATCGGTCCGCCATTACAAGATAGTAGCTGCTCGTCGTGGGCACGGACAATACCCTCCGCAACGGCAATGCAGATTGCTGTGTTAATAACAGTCCCCGATTTCCTTAATGAACGAATGTAAGTTTGCACATCGGAATCCAGTTCGTTACCGAGTAAAATTTTTTTACCCCGCTTGCACCGATTCAATTCAGAAATTTCACAGTTCTCGCTGTCTGAAAAATCAAGTTTACGTTTTCGAGATTTGAGCTCCATGTTGTGTTTATCACGTAAATTTTTTACAGTACTTTCACGTAGTCCTTGAAACTTTGTCTGAAAACGTTTAATGGTCGATGAAGGCCCATGTACACTGGCGTAGTGTCCTATCTCAGCTCTCTCGCTCGGTGAAAAAGTCATGTACTTTCCTCTCGGAGTTTTTGGTGTATCAAGAACTTCAGCCACTTTCTCATTACACTCAATAATTTTGCTAGGCGACATTAATTCACTTAAAGGTCCGGTAGGGTCAGGAAACTTACTTATATGGCTTCAAATATTTCAACAGTGCCATTTTGCTGGCAAAGCGTGAAGTGACTGCTAACTACGGGGCATTCACTGACCAATTATCGATACCTGTATTACGCAACGAAGCGTGAATTCGGACTCTATGAAGAGGCCTCAAAAGGGTAATTTGATGGGGATATTTTATGACGTATATTTTGCGATTGAATTTTTTGCGATTAAGACTTGATCGCAGAATTTCGCAAAAAATAGCACCCCGTAGAAAAATCCAGTTAAACGGAATTTCATGGTTTCTCGTCAAATGCAGCCGTCTTTGTATACGTTCATTTCAAAGCATACCTTTGCCTTGCCTAGATACAGAAACAGTACAGTTCATGCAACTTCTGTATTTTCCTTACATTAGTATGACACTAAGGCGCAAGATGATAAAAGTATTTTTCATCTGTTCGACTGCTTTCCATGTTAAAAAGACGGTACTGTTTCTGATTAACTTTCTGATATCTAGCATCATGAAAGATATCTTCCAAGGAAAAAATTCAAAGTTTCTGACCATAAATGTTAAGGAATTTTCTTTTCAATAGTAACAATTTACTATTTTGAAAGATAAACAATACCTTATTATCCAAGCCTTTGGCATGATTTCATGAATGCAGTTTTGTCATTTTTCAGCGCTTCGTTTCGACAAAACCAAGACAAGTATGGACAACTTAGTAAAATACTCATCTATAAGAAGTCAATTTGAACATTTCAACTAAGTACGAGGGTTGTTCGAAAAGTTCGTGGACGATGTCAATCTAATTTATATTACTCACTAGAAATTTAAAATAAGTACAATATAATATGTAAACATATTTGTTTTGTTAATGTGTGAAGTTTCATTCCATTCGATTAAACAAAATCAATTTACTTCAGTTTAAAATCAACATGTTTTGTACCCGCGGAGCACACTTAACGGCAATGTAACGTCAAAACATAGCGTCAAGAATTTCTAAAAATACTATCCCTTTACATTTCACACAGTATAATCCAATGCCCATACATTAAATCCATTTTCTAAATATTCGAAATTTATTTTTTAAGAATTGCTCTCGTTGTATCATTGCCTTTGTTAAGGTTTTAATTTCTTTATTTACTTAACTCTGCTTTTACAGGATAAGCAACTCTGAATCTTCCATGTCTTTTCTTGACGTTCCAACTTCTCAAAGTTTTTGTTCAGATTTTTACAGTTAAAATGTTTCTTCACAGACTATCCTCGTCCGATACTGTGTCTCTGTCACTCAAATACTGCCTTTACTATTTGTACACACATGCACAACTCATTTGTTACATTTTTTTTGATTCCTCCAAAATTTTTGGCGTTTATTCAGGATTTTTCCAAAGTAAAACACAAAATTGCATCGTTATTTGCTGCTCCGTGACATTCAAAAACGTCATTGTTTTTGTCGTTTTCAATAAGGACTACCTATCTTCTCATGTCGATTGCTTCACAACAAAACAAAATATTAAGCCATAATTTTTTATACGAATCGATGTAACAATTCTTAATTTGAATTTCTAATTTGTTTTTCATTTTTGCTCCATTTTACAGAGATTATGACTTCAGACATTGTTTAGTGTTTTGTTTGTAACTTACCAAATTTTGACCTGCTCCGCGATCCGATTTTCGCATTTTTATAATCTAGATAAGTTTTGAATAAATCGGAATATTTCGAAAAACTTTAATACAAATCATTTGGATTTATTGGTAAAATATTTCTACTAAATTTGGATAACATATGACGTCAAATAAAAAAGGTATAACAGTTGTCCACGAACCTTTCGAACAACCCTCGTAGTACAGTGTATCAAGAAAAGTTCGATAAATTAATTTGTGAATATCTATAGTTAGAATCATACGAATTTAACATTATACATACATTTCCCTTTAAAAACATCGAGTTTTAAAACTTAGCATAATTATTTCAGAGAATATACACCTTTATCATGATATATTAAATAATTTAAGAGTTATTTCTCGTACTGAAGCTCGAAAATTTTAAGTTTATTGCAAGAAAAATGTGACATAAATTTGTGCGAAAAATCATGTGTGTTTTAAAAAAAGTGCGTTAAGCTGTATTCAAACACATGTGTGTCATTATATTCATTGCAGTTGCAAAGTTCACTGTAGTTATCTACGATAAAAGTAATGAGAAGGATTTGAATACTAACAGTTTCAAGTAATTGTATTTTTTGTTGTATTTTCGTACAAGATACGACAGAGCATGTCAGCAATATGTATCATTTTATTCATTGATTAGCGTGTGAAGGTGGAAAGTATGGTTACAACTGCAACCAAAGCTGTGGCCATTGTTTTAACAATACACAGTGTAACCATCTTAATGGAACTTGTCCAGAGGGGTGTGCTGTAGGATACGAAGGGCTTCTTTGTACAAATGGTATATAAAGTATTTTTATTTGTAAATGCGTTGAATAATATTCATTAAAAAAGGTCTCATAACTGCAACATAGTGTACAAATAAAAATGTACTAAACAATAGTTTGCTATGGGTTTTTTCTACGTGCATAAATTAACGGATGAACAATTCATTAGTTTTTCATCTGCATGGAAAGAATATATAATGCTGCAAGAAATTTACTTTCAACTTGTCGTATTTTAAGGATCGAATTTAAATAAATCATATTTCATTAGCATTTCTCAAATCATAAAATAACAAAGGAAAACACAATTTTATTGTGTTCTCATCAATCGTGCAAAGATATCGGTCATTTTTTGTTAATTTATTTCGATTATGATTGAAATTGTTCATATCTTTTTTTTTCTTTAACAGCTAAATATACTATAATCAGGTTGTTGCTTCTGTTGATAAAGAGAAATTGTGTATTTCTTTTCTCTTGATCTTTTAACTTTGATAATGAATGCAATAGGGACCTATTTTTTTTTAAAAAAATTCATTTTGTAGTTTGTGGACGATCGTACTGGGGAGTAAATTGTAAAGAGACATGTAATACGGACTGTGTCAGTCAGACCTGTCATCACGAAACAGGGCAATGTATATCGTACGCGCAGGTAAGGTAATTTATAATACATACGAAGGATATACGGATATAAAAAAAGTTTTTAAAAATAGGTGAAGAATATGTTATCTTTACATTTATTTTAATTGTATTTTTCTTCAGTTGAAATCAGTTTCACGATATGATAAACTATAAATACATAATTATGTCGCAGATGTTCTACATATAAATTGTAGTCTTCTTTTGACCAATTTTTGCAGGTACAGTCTTGCAACACATATAAGAATGACTACACTATCACCATTACAAGTGTAGTTGTCTCTATTTTAATTGTGTTAATGGGAAGTCTCCTAAACTTTGTCATTTGGAGGAAAATGCAGCGTACGTAATAAATTTTATTTTAATTTTTGTCATTTATGTGTCTTTTAAATAACCGCCCCCACCCCCACCCCACCCCCGACAATGCTAATTTAAAAATAACATTTCAAAAAAAAAAATAAATCAATAAAAAAAAAGACCAGACTCCATTATTGTTCTTTTTTTTAGTAAAATGTTATTCTTTTTAACACATATAATATGTTAGAAAGAAATGAATCGAAAGACTCTTTAGAGTCTAAATCGAAAGTGCTTTTACAGAAAACTTTTTAAAAAATGGTACATGATACTCGTATAACATCTTTTTTTTTATAATAATCCTTCTGTGATGTATTCAACTTTTTTTTTACAGAGAAAGGGACAGTTTTAGACACCCCAAATGACAAAGACTATTACAACGAATTCCGAGCTGATGATATAGGAGGTAATGGCAAATATACAAATGTAAAGGGCATTTATTTCTAATATAAAAATCTAATATAAAAACTGTAAAACATGACAGTTTTGTATATGAAAAATGCCCTTTACATTCGTATATTTGACGATCATAAAACAATGGTGTCATCTCGATATCTATAATATAATGTGAAGTAAAAGTATATCCAACCAATACCACTGTATTTGAAATCGTCGTATTAAAAGCTAATGTTATGTTAAAATAAGTCTATTACATTCATTCTGTTAGATTCTTATATAAAAAGTCTACAAATGGTCCGGACTGTTTGGAAAATGAATTTAAAAAACTGTATGCAAAGATGTTGTTAAGAAATGAAGCGCTGATCACATTACATGTAAAAAAAAAAAGGTAAAACATATTGGAAAATTAGTAATTTTTAAGATTATAATTTTCAGATAAACAAAAGAGGCAGGATATGTATGTATTTTTTTAATCACTAATATATTGAGCTTTTTCACTTTACTTAAAACCTTTTTCAGGATTGATTTCTGATTATTATTTCTAATCTGACAGGAATACTTCCCCTTACGCAGAACTTAGTGAATTTGACCACGCAAACACTTATGAAGAAATCCATAAATATGGAAAAGCAGACGAAAAAATGTAAATGGCTGTGTTGATGATGTTTACATTTTAATGAAAAACTCAGAATTATTTGTAGCTTTGCTTACATAGACATTTCTTATTGTTTAATGTCTACACATATTTTCGTTTCTAATTGAGGGACCATGAGTCATACACTCTCAGTTTCGTAATGCTCCATTTTATCCTCACATATCTCTACTACAATCAGAATCCAATCGCATACATGTAACATGTTGTGGAGAAGGGGTTACACATTTACATTCTAACATTACTTATGTTTATGTATTAAGGTACAATTTTCTGCTCAACATTGATGTTAAACCTTACGACCTGTACTTAAAATTTTTAAATTTTGCACAATCCTTCAAATGCGTTATGACTAATCCTTTTAATGTATGTCAAATTTACTTGATTTTTAGATTTTTGTACACATCTAAACAGAATCTCACCACAACACGTTATGGTGGAAGGAGGTTATAGTAATGCTACTGTTCAAATGTTTATATACAAGCTTTATGGCAATCTTTACATTGTCCACAAATCATAATTTGCTTAATTCTTAAAATTGTATTCCCTCTCATTCTATGCTGTGCTAGAGATATTTGACATTTACATTGTGTATATCTTCTTCCATTTTGTATTTATAAAGTATGAGTAAAAGGCCTAAACACATATTTTAAGGTTGTATTTTTCTCTGATTTTTAGTACATTATAGATAAAAAATTTGGTTTAGGCATCACATATTATAATATACTACACAATATTTTTTTCGTAATTTTTTTTCTTCAAATTAGAAAGAAGTCGGTTCACTTTATGCATAAAATGGCCCTGTAGATATACCAATTAATTGATGAACACTTGATTTTCTATGTGAAGCATTAAAATAAAATAGAGACTTGGTGCTTTCATATCCTATTAAAAAAAATCTTCTTAAAGTCCAGGTCTAGGAGAACTGGCTTTATGAAATTGCAATGTTCTTGAATTTTTAGGTCAACAGGTATAACTGAGTACATTCAGTAAAGAAAAATAAAATGAGCGCACTCTCTGATCTAAAAAATAAAACATGTCCATTAATCCCCAGAAACAGCTCTATCATTTACTAGTTGCATATTTTAGATCAGAGGTTGCGCTCTATATTAAATATCAAAAAATATCTTTAAAAATTGGACGTTTTTATAGACTTTTTCAGAATATGAGGAAATTTTGTGACGTCATAATGCATTGACTAGCCAGAAAATGACGTCATTTTTGATAGATACACAGTCACCAAAGATCTAGGTGATATTTAATGCATTGTTAACTAAAACTATGCAGTTTCAGTTTTTCAGAAATTCACAGGGCCAAATTAGTAAAAAGTGAATCTTGTTCTTTGAGATGCGTTGGAATGTCACATATCCTTTCACTTTTTTAAATTAATTAAGGAATGTTTTTAAGTTTTGTGTGAGTTATTGGTGTGTGAATCACACAGACTTCTCACGTAGACATATTTTATGAAGCGCGCTAGCGCTTCATGAAAAATATGCCTACGTGCAAGTCTGTGTGATTCACACACCAATAATTCACACTAAACTGAAAAACATTCCTTATATTTACATTTTACAAGTTCGGAAGCAACTAAAATATACGCAATATTTGAATTTCTCGCTGCCCTATATCGCTGCATTTTTACTAACGTCGCTGCAGCCTCATTGTGACGTCACGTTAACGCACGTTTCTCCGTGTATATTTCTACGCGTGAGTATACACAAAAATGATTTTCAAATCAATTTCACAGTTACCTTAGTAGAAAAACACAGCGAATGTAAATATTATCTGATAAAGTTTAATAAAAATCACTTTCTAATGATTCTGTTGTATAAAGTATATGTAGATAATGAACAGTATTCTAGATCAAAAGTCCACAAAGAACACAAAATAGGAGCAGAGCAAACACGGACCTCCAAAACTTCAGAGGTGCCCTGGAAGAGTGAGCATCAACTGCCGACCGGTCTCATCCGTCGTGTGCTTATTGTAATGATCGGGAATGTAAGTTATCGTGTATAGGAATAAAATGTAGGCAGCTTTAGCATTAGTATTGTTATGTACACAAAATGTCGGGGTTGCTTCCATCGTTTTATACAACAAGAGGCCCATGGGCCTTATAGGTCACCTGAGCATCATGTAACAACTTTCAAATGATTGAATTTGGTTCATGTTTTAAGCTAGATGCTATGGCATTCACAATTTTGAAAGATGCACCATTTTAAATCATAACTATACACTTAGCAATTGTTTAGTTTGTTTACTTAATACTCATAAGCAGGGATGAGGAACCAAAAATGCATTGTAAGGAAGGATATGGAGATAACGAACAGTATTCAATCTCAACGTCCATTAAACAATATACAAAATAAGAGCAGAGCAAACACAGACCTCCGAAACATCAGAGGTGGGATCAGGTGCCATGGAGGAGTGATCATTCCTTGCCGACTGGTCACACCCGCCGTATGCTCGTTGTCATGATCAGGAAATAACGGAAAAAATCCGTCGTCAATTCAGTGTATAAATAATGGACAATTGGTATGAAAAACGTCAGTCAGCATATGACTCAATGATAAATTGTTTTTGCTGACAATGTCATTTTATCGACCATAGAATTTACGAAATGATGACTTTAAACGAGACTGTTGATATTCTTGTTTCATCAACTTGCTTGTCAATAATTTACCTCGTTTAAGAAATAATCAGTAATATTCAGTAATAATTGGAAGTGCCCCTACCACACATGAACCCCTGACCCTAGGTCTTCACAGTGCACAATTTTTGAAAAGGCTCACTTGCTTATCAAAAATGTTTGATTGATACCAAGGTGCAGATTTCAAACAATTCAATTTCAGTATATAAGTAGAGCCCTCCCCCCTTTTTGGTATCCCTCAGCCCTCTACCCAGGGGCCTTCAAATTCACAATTCTGGAAGAAGAGCCCATGCACATCATAAATATATATGTAGTTCATCTGCTTATTACCCAGGAGTAAAGAAAAAGATTTTCAGACCTGTAATGTATTTTCACTATGTAATCAATAGAGCCCCACCCTAACACCAGAACCCCTGATCCTTGGGCCATAAATTCACTGTTTTGATAGAGGCACTCTTGCTTATCATAACTATGTACTTAACTATTTCATTATTTCATTTAATGCTCTAGGACAGAGAAGATTTTCAAAGAAAGTATGAATTCTCAATATATAATCGATAGAGCCCCGCCCTAACACCAGAACCCCTGACCCTTGGGCCATAAAATTCACAATTTTGGTAGAGGCACTCTTACTCATCATAACTATGTACTTAGTTAGTTTATTTAATACCCAGGAGCAGTGAAGAAGATTTTCATAGAAATAATGCATTTTCACTATATAATCAATAGAGTCCCACCCTAACAACAGAACCCCTGACCCTGGGTCCCTTAAATTTACAATTTTGGTAGAGGCATTCTTGCTTGTCATAACTTGTGGGGGGGGCAAGGACCATGAAAATCACAATTTGTGTTCCCACAGATGCTATATGTCAAACTTGGTTGAAATTGGTTCAGCTGATTCAGAAAAGAAGCTGAAAATGTTTAAGTGTTAACGCAGGACGAACGACGACGGACGAAAACATATAGCAATAGGTCACCTGAAACAAGAGGCCCATAGACCTTATAGGTCACCTGAGCATTATGCAACAACTTTCCAGTGATTGAATTTTATTCATGTTTTAAGCCAGATGCTATGGCATTCACAATTTTAATGGCATCATTGGTCATCATAACTATACACTTAGCAGTTGCTTAATTTGGTTACTTAATACCCATAGGCAAGTCAGAGGAACATAAAATCCATTTCAACTAATCAGTAATATTCAGCAGTACTCAGTAGTGCCCCTACCACAAATGAACCCTGACTCTTAGGCCTAGATCCACACATTGCACAATTTTTGAAAAGGCATCCTTGCTTTTCAAAAATATCTGATTAATACCAAGGAGCAGAACATTTCAATCATTTATTTTTAGTCTATAAGTACAGCCCCCCCTATAGTACTTCTGACCATGGGGCCTTGAAATTCACAATTCTGGGAGAATGGGTCTTGGTTCACAACTATATAGGTAGTTCAACAGCTTAATACCCAGGAGCAGAGAAGAAGACTTTCAAAGAATTCATGCATTTTCACTATATAATCAATAGAGCCGCCCCCCCCTCCAACACAAGAACCCCTGATCCGAGGGCCATGAATTTCATAATTTTGGTAGATGTACTCATGCTCATCAAAACTATGCACTTAATTAATCTATTTAATACCCAGGAGCAGAGAAGAAAACCTTCAAAGAATTCATGTATTTTCACTATATAATCAGAGCCCCACGCCCCCTTACACCAGAACCCCTGACCCTGACCCTGGGGCCATAAAATTCACAATTGTGGTAGAGGCACTCTTGCTCATCATAACTATGCACTAAGTTAGTTTATCTAATACCTAGGAGCAGAGAAGAAGACTTTCAAAGAATTCATGTATTTTCACTATATAATCAATAGAGCCCCCCCCCCCCCCCCCCCACACACCAGAACCTCTGACACTGGGGCCCTAAAATTCACAATTTTGGTAGAAACACTCTTGCTCATCATAACTATGCACTTAGTTAGTCTATTTAATATCCAGGATCAGAGAAGAAGACTTTCAAAGAATTCATGTATTTTCACTATATAATCAATAGAGCCCCACCCTAACACCAGAACCCCTAACCCTGGGGCCATAAAATTCACAATTTTGGTAGAGGCACTCTTGCTCATCATAACTATGTACGTAGTTTGTTTATTTAATTACCTGGAGCAGGGAAGAAGATTTTCAAAGAAATAATGCATTTTCACAATATATACTTATTTAGCCCTGACCTAGCACTAGAACCCCTGACCCCAGGGCCATGAATTTCACAATTTCGGTAGAGGACTTAATGCTAATTACAATCATGCAAACAGTTTGACTGCTTGATGCATCAAAACTATGCACTTAATTAATCTATTTAATACCCAGGAGCAGAGAAGAAAACTTTCAAAGAATTCATGTATTTTCACTATATAATCAGAGCCCCCCGCCCCCTTACACCAGAACCCCTGACCCAGACCCTGGGGCCATAAAATTCACAATTGTGGTAGAGGCACTCTTGCTCATCATAACTATGCACTAAGTTAGTTTATCTAATACCTAGGAGCAGAGAAGAAGACTTTCAAAGAATTCATGTATTTTCACTATATAATCAATAGAGCCCCCCCCCCCCCAACACCAGAACCTCTGACACTGGGGCCCTAAAATTCACAATTTTAGTAGAAACACTCTTGCTCATCATAACTATGCACTTAGTTAGTCTATTTAATATCCAGGATCAGAGAAGAAGACTTTCAAAGAATTCATGTATTTTCACTATATAATCAATAGAGCCCCACCCTAACACCAGAACCCTGGGGCCATAAAATTCACAATTTTGGTAGAGGCACTCTTGCTCATCATAACTATGTACGTAGTTTGTTTATTTTATTACCTGGAGCAGGGAAGAAGATTTTCAAAGAAATAATGCATTTTCACAATATATACTTATTTAGCCCTGACCTAGCACTAGAACCCCTGACCCCAGGGCCATGAATTTCACAATTTTGATAGAGGACTTAATGCTAATTACAATCATGCAAACAGTTTGACTACTTGATGTCCAGGAGTAAAGAAGAAGATTTTTAAAGATTGCATTAATTGTAGTGGTTTTGGCCCCACCCCTCAGGCCCCAGGGTGACAGGGTTCATGAAATTCACAATTTTGTTCCCCTTTACCCATAGATGCTTTGTGCCAAATTTGGTTGAAATTGGTTCAGTAGTTGCAGAGAAGAAGCTGAAAATGTTCAAATGTTAATGCACGACGCACAACGCACGACGCACGACGACGGACGAAAACAGATAGCAATAGGTCTTTACTCTACCTGAAAAAACAGGGCCAAATAAATGGGGAACAGACTATATTTAATATTTTGACGATTTTTGTGAAGAAGAAAATATAATGTCATGTTTTGTGAGCGTCAATGTTTGCGCTTCCTCTATAGATACATTGTATATCTATACTTCTACAAGTAAATACAATAATTAATTATCTTATTTGTGTTACTAAGCACGGAGAAGAACGACCGAGCAGAAAAAGTTAATTAGGTTAGAACTAAAAAAATATGTTATATTTAACTTCTATTTTAGTTAAAAATTTTACTTATATGTAATAAAATATATTTTACCTATATGTAATAAAACGATGTCCGCAACTATATAGTAAATAAATTTAACATAAGTGCTAAATAAGCCTAAATGTTAAAACCACTGGACACTACTGACAGCAAAGAAACACCTTGTATACGTTATGTTCTATTTCACCAGTTCAACCGAACATAAATTATTTATAAATTCAAAACTCCAACACATGTTTAGGAACGGCATCGCCTGCGTCTGCGCAACAGACATTTATTATACATAAATGTTACAAATAATATTCTTCTTTGAAACAACATTCTACAAAATAAAAAACGAAAATATTAAATCATATCAGATATATACATTATAAAGTAGGGTGGGTGGGCGGGGACTTGTTGCACTAAGCGCAGCGAAACCTCGAATAACTTCTAATTCTTAATACCTGGACACAGGTAAACTACCTGTTCCGCACGATTTCATTTGAACTCATATCAATCGTTAAAATCCAATCAAATCTTAGATACTATAAATACTTTCTAAACACGTAAACAAACAACACCACGTGTTTCCGATACCAATTATAAATATATTTAAAAATGTACAAAGTACATGTATCTCAATTTTTACATAGTGACGATTAATTTTATATATAATTGAGTTACGCACAAAAACACTTCATATTCATATTAAAACGTATGCAACACAAATATCATTTAAAATTTCTTAATAAAATAAGAAAAATGATGTTAAATACACCAAAGTCCTTTTTTTTTTTTTTTTAAAAAAAGAAAAAAAGAAAATTACTTTTGATAGAAAAGTGAAAACTGCAATCTTTTAATCGAAGAACAACTTTAAAACCGGATGCGGAAGAGTATGTGTCTTTTTTCCCTTTGGATTAAGGACAAAGGAAACCAACAATATAGTATCAAAAATCCTGAAAATGTCAACTTGATTAAGTTTTATTTATAACTATAAAATGCCTAAGTTAAATTGCACCGATTTTCATTTAATGTTTCACAAAAATGGAATTTGAGTATATTTGACAAAGAATTGTTTAGATAAAGACGGATGGTTTTGAATTTTGAACATCATATAAGCTTTACATATTCTTAATATTGTTTTAATATTTATGAGTTTTATTATTAATTTTAAAACCAAAATGGCTTAAAATAATTTTATATATTAAACAAAGCATCAATATATTATCTTTCGATCTGGATTTCTGAACCGTGTATGTATCAATGATTTGCAAGATTAAAAATAAGAGGTACCAAACTTTTGTTTCATAATACTGGTTTACCAAAAAGTGGTAAGATTGTACCTAATCCTACTCATTTCAATGACGTATCCCATTTACTTGATTTAGTTGATTTCTCAACAGCACAGCCTAATTGGTAGGATTTTTAAAATCTTTTGATTGACAACAATTATACCGTATCAGTGGAAATTTTAGCGAGACGCAAATTTTGCGATTTGTCCTAAAAAAAACTGGTAATTTAGTTTTAGTGAGATCTTATTTTAGCGATTTTAAAATGCACGTTAAAGAAGTTATAACATATAAAATGCAATTAAATGTTAACGATACATTGTATTCAATTTTAGCAATCTCAGCACCCTTGCTCATAATGCTAAAATTAAATCCTCGCTAAAAATTCCATTTATACAGTATGAATTCCACATCATATAATTCAATACTATGGAGAGTATATTGGTAAGCTGTAACAAGGACAAAATGTGTATTTTTTATTTCTCGAAGAAATTTCACAAAACGATATTTTGCAGTTCGGGATATTGTTATACAGTAACAAAAACAAATAGTCCGGAAAAAGGACAACTTGTTCTTTTGTAAATAAACTTCTGATATTAAAAATCGTTATATGAAAAATTCACATTAAAAAGAGATTTGAACACACAGATTTGTATATAAAGATAATTAACTGTCTCAGTGATTTGCCATGATATCACATTTAACGAGACAGTATGTTAATAGCAGTTTCATTTTACAGGCTTCCTATTAAAAAGTTAAAAAATATCATGTTTCCCTTTGAACTTCACGATGTTTATTTAATTTTTGTTACATTCGGATATCAGAATTATCTTTCTGTCTTTTTTCCACTTTCTTTCCGTTTTGATTTATACACTGCGTTTTATTTCTTGTTTTTCACTTCCTTCTGTTATCTTCGATTTTAATTAACTGTGTTTGGTTTCTGTAAAAGTATGTGTATTTTCGCAACAATGGGAATATTTTAAAAGCTTTCAGGTATTGTAAAGGTAAATTTATAAATATTATAGGAAAGTTTAAAAAAGATTTAACAATGGACATTGATAAACTATATTGTTTGTATATGTTGTCTAAAATTGGTGTCATATATGAACATGCAATTTCTGTAGCAAGTGTTTAACGTGAAGCATTAAATTCTTGCCTTGTCGAATTGAATTTGTGCAACTTTTATTTATGGTAAATGAAACTATTCCTGGATATCACACATGCTTTTGTTAGTCCTCTACCGGAGAAATTGGAGGAGATTAAAGATTTCCTTCGCCTCTGTCCGTCTGACTGTCTGTCCCTCTGTAATTCGGTCTGCGTATGTCTGCCCCGCATGGTTTTCCGCACTTTATATTTATCAAATACTTCTTATCAATAAAATCTTAGATAGGCAAATTTGTACTGTGTGTTTCCCGCAGAGAAAAGTATCTAAAATTTTGTTTGTTTTCCCATGACTCTCTTAAACAATTTTTTTTTATCACAAGTTAACTTGATTAAATGCATTTGTGTATCATCGTAGGTATAGAAAAAACATGTGCGACTTTGTTCCCTGTAAATACCTCTAATCATGTAAAGTTCACCCTGATTTGGTTACTCATTCCGAATAAAACAAGAAATTGAAAATTCTTCCTTTAGCTGTTTGATATATGTGTTGCAATTTCAAAGACTAGATGCTGTCATGAGACAGTAATACCCGCACTATGGTGTTTGCCTCTAAATACACACTCCTTCATATTGGACTTTCCAAGGAAGAAGTCAAAATAATTCTATATTCGTCAAATTGAACATAAAATTTTCAGGTGACCATATGATCTATGAGCCTCACATATGTATTTTGAATACTTAATTCATTACCAGTCTGAAATAACAGAATTTAATTAATGATTGAAGTAAATTACTTAATTAGATTCAGATAAATATTTTGCCCATAATTTGGAACTTTTTAAATTTACTTTCTCAACGACATATTATTTTAGTACAAAGCGTTTTTGATGAATTTATCAAAATGTGCAAACTGATTTAGTACTTGGTCGGGAAAAAACCCCATTGAAAATACAACCCGATTATGATGCCTATCTCTCTCTCCCCCCCCCCCCCCCACACACACACACACACACACTCTCTCTCACTCTCACATTTTTTAAAAATAGACCTAGATGGCAAAGTTATGTTAAAACATAGTTTATTATGATAGTTTGAAATTTGTTCTTGTACTAAACAGTTTTACGTGTGAACATCTTATTTTCTACATTCACATTGGGTTTGCGTCACCCATTATCATATTTATAGATATCACCTCTCGGCACACCTCGGCCGATTCATACTGGCAACGGAATCAGCAAAGGTTTGTCGAATGAGATTATTTAGCACATGTATGCTGACGATGCAGTGTGGTCAGTTAAAATCATTTGTGTTTTAATTGGATTATATGGATTACATTTCATGAATTCGTTGTCACGACCTATGACATTCGGTTAGTACAAGATTTAGTATAGATTGCATAAAAATAAATAAATGCAAATGGTTAGGTTGAAGTTCAAAAACGGTCAAAGATCATCGCATGCCACAGTCGACAAATTTCACATTGTCAAGTTATCTCCCGTTGCGGACATTCAGTATATACAGGCGCAGATCCAGAATTTTTTTTCAGAAAGGGGGGGGGTGTCACACCTCAGTCAAAAAAATCAGCCCAAGATTTCCTGAGAAGCAAATAAAAAATAATAATAAAAACAATGATGGTGGAGTCCCTGTTTTCTAAGGGGGAGGATGTCCAAAGTCATTTTTATTCTCTACAGTACATAGTCTTATTTAAATAACTGCTAATTCCAGGGGGGGGGGGGGTGTCTGATCTCCCTAGCCACTGACTCCCTGTCCCTGAAATGACAATTGATCTTATGACTCCATAATAGTAGAAAATTTTTTCATTTGACTATATATACATATTTTGTTTCCTATGTTTATGTATGTTTGTCTGTCCACAAAAACTTTAACCTTGCCCATTAGTTTTAAGTGGATTGGGCTATACACATGGCTTCAATATTTCATAGGTAAATTTCTTTTGGCAAAACCTTTTAATGGGTACCACCAATTTTGACCTCTTGATCTCTTGACCTTGGAGTTTGACCCACTTTTACAAGAAAAATACCTTAAACTTGGCCTAAGTTTTGAACAGGTGGTGCTAGGACTTTCATGCTCTAACATGTGTAATCATTGTGAACTTTCAACAGGTATAATTATTTTTGACCTAGACCTTAGAGTTGAACCCAATTTAACTTTAACCTTGGCAATAACTTTTGAACAGGTGAGGAAGTTCTAGGGATTTCTCTCTTTTTTCACATGTGTATTCCTTGTGACAAGACTTTCCCTTTGATACCAACAATTTTGACCCTTTGACCTTGACCTTGGAGTTTGACTTACATTTGAGAAACTTCAACCTTTGCAAAAAGCTGCCATAACAGTTGCTGTCACAACAAACAAACAAATTACTAAAAAAACTCAGTATACATGTACATATTTTATATTCAACAGATATACATCTGGTCATATCTCTAGTTCTCCCTTGAATGAGACATGGTGATATAAATTTTTAAAAATGATTATGATAAGAGTTGAAAAGGTTGTGCATATTAAAATATACTAAGCTCTGCGGATGAATTAGATATACCAGATTAGATATACCAGTTTAGCTTAATTTTGCTACCCAAAGCACCTTGATTAACTATTTATAAGCATACTGTTTTCTGAAATGTACTGATTTCTGTTGTCCATCTGTTTGTCTGCAAACTTTTCACATTAACTTCTTAAGAACCACTGGGCCAATTTCAACCAATTTACATTTAAATATGCAGGGGACTTTTTCCAACATAAATCTTCTTCTCAAGAACAGCAAAGACATTTATTGTCCCCCATTTTCGCTAAGGTAGGGTACATTAAATCTCATTTGTTTATCAATCTGCCCATCTGTCACAATAAATTTAACCTTGCAATTGGTCATCATGGTCATATATTTTGAATGAGAAGAGACAGGACTTTTATATTAAACATGTGTATTAGTATTAAATGGGACAATACCATTCTAAATACACTATGATTTTTATTACCCATGACCTTGAAGTTTGACCTAATTTCATAAACAAATTAATTGCTTTGAATTAATCATTTTGAAAGATAAATGAAAGGGCATTCATATTACCTGTGATAAGACCTTTCCAAATGTATCATGACTTTTTGACTCTGTGACCTTGACCTTGAAATTTAACTTAGTTTTCATTAATGTTGTATTTCCTTTTCATTGAGAAGAGATTCGAATTTCACATTTCAAGTGAACATTACCCATAACAAGATGTTTCCCAACATGCTATGATTTTTTACCCCTTGACCTTGATGTTTTAACAAAATTTCAAAAGAGTGAACTCTCCCAAAAGAGGATAAGACCACTGTTTAAAACGAAAAAGGAGTTTAGGGAAGACTGGGCTTTTTCCATAAAAAAACGTCATTTTTCGACCCTCATTTGACCCCCCGGGCAAAATCAAAATTCCAAAACCTAACTGCACATCTACATGACCCCACCAACCATCTCCCAAAAGATGATTAGGCTGCTGAATAAAATGTAAGAGGAGTTCAGGGAGGATGGGGCTTTTAGCATAAAAAACGTTATTTTTCGACCCCCATTTGACCCCCTGGGGCAAAATCAAAATTCATAAACCTTACTACACATCTGCATGACCCCACCAACCATCTCCCAAAAGATGATTAGGCTGCTGAGTAAAATGTAAGAGGAGTTCAGGGAAGAAGGGTCTTTTTGCATTAAAAAAGTCATTTTTCGACACCCATTTGACCCCCCAGGGCAAAATCAAAATTCCGAAACCTTACTGCACATCTACATGACACCACCAACCATCTCCCAAAAGATGATTAGGCTCCTGAGTAAAATGTAAGAGGATTTCAGGGAAGACAGGGCTTTTGGCATAAAAAATATCATTTTTCGACCCCCATTTGACCCCCCGGGGCAAAATCAAAATTCCAAAACCTTACTGCACATCTACATGACCCCACCAACCATCTTCCAAAAGATGATTAGGCTGCTGAATAAAATGTAAGAGTAGTTCAGGGAAGACGGAGCTTTTTGCTTAAAAAACGTCATTTTTCGACCCCCATTTGACCCCCTGGGGCAAAATCAAAATTCCGAAAGCTTACTGCACATCTACATGACCCCACCAACCATCTCCCAAAAGCTGGTTAGGCTGCTGAGTAAAATGTAGAAGGAGTTCAGGGAAGACGGGGCTTTTTGCATAAAAAACGTCATTTTTCGACCACCAAATGACCCCCCGGGGCAAAAACAAAATTCCAAAACCTTACTGCACATCTGCATGACCCCAACAACCATCTCCCAAAAGATGATTAAGCTACTGTGTAAAATGTAGGAGGAGTTCAGGGAAGAAAAGTGTGACAGACGGACGGACGGACGGACGGACGGACATGAGTAACAGCAATATACCCGAACTTTCTTTAGAAAGTGCGGGTATAATAAGATTTATTTTCTTTCTGCACGTTATCGGATCACGCAATTCCTTCAGGTGACTAAACAATTGTTTAAAAGCATAGACAACCGTACACAATTTTTAAGCGGTTAGCTTCGCTAACCGCTTTATGGCATGTGTCCGATTTTTATCGACACCGGAAACTTCCATAAGGCGCTACCTATCGACAACGGAAACTTCAACAAAGCCTCTACCTAGTATCTATGATTTGTTTCTAACACATATAACATATGTTAAATAAAATCAGGACTATCAAAACAACATAATCTTTCGGTTTTTTAATTTTTTTCTGATTTTGTTTGTCAATGAAATAAATTTATAATTGTTGTATTAAAAAAAAATTATGTATAGGAGCATTTGGTGTCGAGATTAAATTTCCGTGACATCAGCTGATGGCGATTGGTTCGAAGTCAGCATGAAGTTTAGCAGATAACATTATCAACGCGTTAGATTTAAACTTTATG